TACACTGTTAATTCCTAGTGCCCAAGAGTTTGTGGATACAGGGACTCCATAGTGAGTTTCAGATCAGCCAAGAGTATATGAGACTGCATCATCTCAAAACAGGGACACAGGGAGAGAAAGAAGGGGGGGAAAAGAATGAAGCAGCCCTGGTATAAGCTCTTTGACTGGTTTTTCATGCACGTTGCAGAGGTTATCTAGAGCAGGAGCATTGCAAAGCCCTGTAGTATTCCTTGGCAGGCAAGCATTCTCCTGATGAGCCACATCCCCAGCTCACTTGTTCTGTGTTGATAATTTAGGTTCTTAACAGAAACTCTAACTTGTTTTTCTTTTTCTGGAAACAGTGGATAAATGGTTCCATCACCAGAAAAACTGATGAGATGCCCTGGAATCCAAGCTGATCCTGCTGCATCCTGTTCACCTGGAAGCATTAGATGCAAAAGTGTAGTCACTTTTCACAGCTTTACATTTCTATAACTTGCCTACTGAAGCAGACTCTGCTGTGGCCAGTCCAATATGTTCAGAAGGTTAGCCATCCAGAGACTCAACCAAGACAGCTTTCACCACATTAGCTCTCAAAGCCCTTGTGACATGGAAGTCATTTATTTGTGCATAGATGTGCAAGGTGAACACATAATGGATGTATATGTTTACTGTACTAGGAAATAAAATTATTTTGCTGAAACTTGGTTTAGGATTTTTTTTTTTTTTTTTTTAATTTTAACATTACCAAGGTGTTGTGGGTACTTCCAAGTATTTGTTTCCTAGCAGTAGTCTTAGAATTCCATTTTATATTATTAGATAAAAACTGCACAGTAGTGTACACTTTTGATCCTCAAACTCAAGAGGCAGAAGTAGGCACATCTCTTGAGTTCAAGGCCAGTCTGATCTACATTGCAAGTTCCAGGACAACCTGAGCAACATTGTAAGTGCTTATTTAAATAATAATAATAAGCTGTTTGAGTTTTAGCAATCTGAGAATGGAATCCCTTGTGCATATAGAAGTCTTGTTCTGTGCCTAGTTTCTGGGATCACATTCTAAAGCAAAAACTTTTAAATTATTATGTTAGCAAAAAGCCAAACCTTTATTGAACATTGAAATGGGCATAGCATTTACCTTTTAAGTAATGAACTGAATCCTTAAGTCATTTGCGTTGCACCGAAATTACCAGCCAGAACAATTTTTGGTGAGCTCATGGCCTTTGGATCTAGAAAGACCTGAGCTTGAATCCAGGCTCATCTTACCAATTCTGTACTCAGGCAAGACACAAACCACTAAACCTGTTTTTCTCATCTATAAAAATGTCAGGTAATGACTTATAGTAAACACTCATATTTATTTAATCTGAACATTGTTGTCATGTGTGTGCAGGGGGGTGCAGGTGCTATTTGGAGGCTAGAGGCTTAGTAACATCTGGAGCTGGAGTTAGTTACAGGTGGTAGTGAGCTGCCTGATTGGGGTTCTGAAAACTGAGCTCTAATCCTATGCAAGAGCAGTCAATACACACACTAACTGAGCTAAGCTGTCTCTATTCTACATTTTTTGTTTTTGAAGGAAATCTATCATTGAGCCTGGCACTTGCTGATTTGGCTAGACTGGCTGACAGCAAGCCCTGGGGATCCTGTCTCCATTAGATGCACAATGATGTCTCCTTGTTATTTTAATTTGCATTTTTGTCATGGCTAATGATGTCAAGCATCTTTCGTGTGCTTCTCACCTGTGTCTCCTCTTTGGTAAAATGTCTCTGTGTTAGTTTTATGAGAGAAAGTCTAAAGGAAGAAAGGTTTATTTTGGCTAAGGTTTCAGGCTAAGCTTGGCTGGATCCATTGCTTTGGGCCTGAGGTGAGAAATGATAGGAATTAATACTTTATCAGTGGGAACCTGTGGCAGTCAGGAAGTAGAGGCAGGATGGGACTGGGTACAAAGTACATCTGCCAAGGTACATACCTAGTGATCTACATCATCATCTCCACGATCTCCCAATAGTGCCCTCGTGGGAATCCATCCAGGAATTACTACATTGTTAAACTAGAATCCTCAAAATCTCTAGGCTTGGTGTGAGCCAATGGTCCTAGCAGTTCAAGAGGCTATGAAACCAAGGTCTGCATGGATTAAAATTGAGTTCAAGGACAACTTGAGTAAGGTAGTGGGACCCTATCTCATAAATGATTCCAGGGCTTGAAGAGATGGCTCAGTGGATATGGATGCTTGCTGCTCTTCCAGAGGACCCTGAGTCCTGTTCCCAGCACCCATATCAGATGGATTAGAACCACCTGTAACTCCAGCTCCAGAAGATAATGATACCTTCTTCTGCCCTCTGTAGGGACTGCATTTAAGTGCACAAACACAGCTAAAAAATAAAATTAAAAGATTTTAGATGGGCATGGTGGCACATAGCTTTAATCTCAGCTGTTGAGAGACAGAGGCAGATGAATCTTGAATTCAAGGCCAACCTGGTCTATATACCAGGTTACAGGCCAGCCAGGACTTCATAGTGTAGATGTTTGCCTGGTGTCTTCAGAGGCCAGAAGAGGGAGTCAGATCTCCTGGAACTGGAGTTACTGACAGTTATGATCTGCCATATGGATGCTGGGAATTGAGCCCAGGTCCTCTGGAAGAGCAGCCAGTACTCTTAACCACTGAGCCATCTGTCCATCCCCCAAAGACATTTTTAACTATATTTGTGGTTGGGTGGGTACACGTGACTATATAAGTGCCTATGGAAGCCAGAAGAGGGCATGGAACCAAACTGGAGTCCTCTAAAAGATCAAAATCATCTCCAATCTCAAAACTTAAAAAACAAACACACACACCTTTTAATTGTGTGTGTGTGTGTGAAGGTATGTGACATGAGTGCAGTCCTGGGGAATTACAGGATGTGAGCTATCCGGTGGAATGGAACTCAGGTCCTTTGTAAGAGTAGTATGCCTTCTTAACTACAAAGCCATTGCTCCAGCCCAGTTTTAAGCCTTGTTTAAACCACAGGCTTTGAACAATGTAACGTAGAAAGCTACAAAATTACACACACACACAAGCATGCACAGGCACACAGGCCAAGCAAGTGCCAGCCTCTTGAGAAGTCCATACCCACAACTTGGGTTCTGTGTTCTCTTTTTCTTAAACCAAATAACCCCCACCTATCTTCTCAAACAAGTTCTAAAGCAGTAGTTCCCTACTTGTGGGAACTACAACCTAAGACCATCCTAAAACACAGACATTTATATTACAAATAATAACAGTAACAAATTACAGTTATGAAGTTGCAACAAAAATAATTTTAAAGTTTGGGTCATCACAGGAGGAACTGTATTAAAGGGCTGAAGTAAGGTTGAGATCCACTGTTGTAAAGCAAGTTCCCTCTCTTAGGTCTGTTTAATAAGCTGGCTAACTTTGCTTCACTCTGATTCTTCTTTCCTGCCCAATAACCAAGTGTCTGGCTTTATTTGAGTGGAGTGGGGAAAGGAGCAGTTCAGGCTACAGGTGCAGGGCTGGGCTGTGTCTCTTTACCAGCACGAGCCAGGCTGGCCTCAGTTCCAGTGGTTCTTTTGCCTGTGCCTCCTGAGTGCTGGGATGTAGGTGCATTCCACTACACCTTGATGTATTGTTTTTAATTTTTTTAAATTAATTATTTTGTGCCTGTGGTGTTTTGCTTAACATGTATGTGAATCATGTTTGAAGTGACCTTGGGGTCAGAAAGTCCTCTTGAGACTGGAGTTACAGACAGGTGTGAACTGCCATGTGAATGCTGAAGATTGAACCCTCCTTAGGGGAGATGTCACATGTACTTTATTGGTTGGTGACCTCTGTGCTATCTGTATGACTGAGACCACACCAGATTCTCCCTTAGACCCTTAAGCTATAGAACCCATCTTTATGGAAGAGGCCAACATATACATTGCAGAAGAGTTTTGATGTAGGCACAACTTAAGCATTATTAAGATAATTGCTATTAGGAAACTTTTCCAAAATCATGCTGAACTTGAATATGCCTAAAAATAATCTGCCTGGCATCAGACTCTAGAAGTTTGAGCCAACACTGGCTAATTAAGTCGTGTTGAACCATTTACCTCTTAACTTCACATGGGTAACTTTGCCAGCCCTGGTGTTTGCAGAGACTCCGCAACTTTTTATTCGGGTTCTGGCAATTGAACTCAGGTTGTCAATGTTGCATCTTTGGGCAGTGTGATTGCTAATTTTGGCTGTCCACTTGACTACATCTGAAATTAACTAAGGCCCAAGCAGCTTGATACACTTGTGAGGGATTTTTCTTGGTTGGATCATTTAAAGTGGAAAGACTAACCCTAAATCTGGGCCACACTTTCTAGTGGCAGTCCACATAAAAGGACTTGGAAGAAAGAAGCATTTGCTTTTTGCCTATTTACCCTCACCCACACTCACAAGTTCCTTTATTGTTGCTGAGGCATTCCTTCATTGACATTAAAACCTACTTCTTTGGTATTCCAACTCAGACTGAAGACTTTGGCTGTCTAGCAGTTCCCTAGATTCCTAGCATCAGATGAGCCATTTTATGTGTGTTCAAGGGGGCTACTTCATAGAACGGTAACGAGAGCTAAATAGATGAGGCATTCCAAGTACTCAGTGTACTGCTCGGCACTGCTCAATAAACGCTTGCTTCTTTTATTAAGTTAAAAAAAAAAATAAAAAGAAACTATACCAAAACAGGGGAAACCATGACTTGGTGGCCATCCACCTAGGCTGAGGGCACCAAGGTCAGTTCTACCTACATGTGTCAACCTCCACTTCTGCGTCTAGAAACGAACTGAGATTGGAAGCCCTGGGGTGGAGTAGCTGCTTAACTTGGGGACAGAAGTCCAAGCCGCCTGACAGGCACTGCCACGTCTTGCGCTGCTTGAGCGCCTCCAGCGAGAGGGCGGGGCCACGCCCGGAGCGTACGTCTCTCCTTGGGCCCGCCCCTCCGCCGCCTGAGTGGCTGGTAGGACGGTACCTACCGGCGAACGGCGTGACGCCTAGAGGGGGCGAGGCAAGTGCGTGCCCGGAAGTCCCGTGGGAGGGGCGTGACGCACATCCGGCGCGTAGCTGGCGGTCCCGGGTGCTGCTGGTCTGTGTGCTCTGAGGGAGGGTCGCGCCGCCAGCCACCGCGGGAGGAGCCCCTCGGGCCGTGAGTCGGGGCCCAAGCAGAGGACGAGGCAGTGGGGCATTGGGCTCGGGGTGGGCGGCAGCGGAGGTCGGGGCGGGGGCCGTCTCGGAGGGGCTGGGTGGGGGGGAAGTGACACGCAGGCGGTTCCGCGGGCCGGCTCTGGGCGGGGACGGGCCGCAGCCGCGGGGTGGCGTGGCGCCGTTCGGGTTTCTGGAACGGCTTCGTGGCCTCCGTGACCAGGAGCCTCGGTCCTCGGTGAGGCTAGCTGGAGCCCTGGGAGCTCATCCTTGGGTTCTGCAGATCCAGGGGCCACGCAGTACCGAGTGGGTTCTCGAGCCCCACGTTCAGCCTCTGGGCGTCCGACGCCCTGTCTGGAACCCAGTGGTCGCTCCTTCCATGAACATCGCCTCTTTTTATTTTTTTCCTTGTGCATGGGAAAATTCCCTCTCGGGCGTTTATAGTAGATGAGTGTTTTCTTCATCATTTTTGCCCAGGCGAGGTGGTAACTAATTCCCTTTTTCAGTATTCTCCCTTGTTCTGGTGTTTTCTAAGTATCTGGGTCCATCTGCTCAGGTTGAGAGGTTTAGGGTCAATTGGCAGAAAGCTGGTCTTTGACATTTACCCTGCAGCAACGTAGAATTACTTAGGTAATAACCAGCTGCTTTCTACGCCAGGTTCATCTGGAGTCAATAGGTATTAAGTAATGAGTACGCTTTTATTGGCCAGTGGTCATTTTGGGACTTCTCTATTGTTTGTTTCCACCACTCTGGGTATTTGCACGCTTTTACTTTAGGTTCAGGAATAGTGTTAGTTCCATGTTGTTCTTAACAGTCTATAGTTGGTAGAGTAGATGAAGTATAGGAAAGAAATATCCTCTGTGTGGGTGGTAGGTTAGGGAAGTAAGTTTCCTTTTTGGAGGTTTGGTGGTTGTAATTTTACATTAGCAGGAATGGCTCTGGTTTTAGGTGAGAGTTTTAAGTCCTTGGAACTGACACTTTCATCAACACGGTTTTGAACAAGACAGGTCTTGTTAAATGAGGCCAGAGATCCTTGCTTGGTAGATTTGGTGAGAGGATGAAGTGGGAGATATGGGCAGGTACTGTGTAAATTCTAAGGTTGCTGATGGGTGAATTGGTTCAGATCTTGAGAACTCAAGGACAGAGGCCATTTACTCATCTTGGGCAGCAGTACATACAACCCAACTCCTGGGGTCCGGTAGGAGTTACTATTTTTTTTTAACATCACTGAAGAATTCATTCTAATGCTTTTCCTATATCATTTTGGTGGGAAGACTTTATAGGGCTTTTAAGACAAGGATTAAAAAGGAAAATAAGTTAGAAAATCAAAGTAATTGAGTTACCACTTTAAAAAAAAAAAAAAAAAACCTAAGAGACACATAAAATTAACCAGGTTGAGAATACTTGCTTTCGTTTTCTTTGATTTTTTTTTGAAATTGAGTTTTACTGTGTAACCCAGGTTGGCCTGGAACTTAACTAAATATATAGGCAAAACTGCTACAAACTCAAGCTCATTTTCCTGCCTCAGGCTCGCAAGTGCTGTGATTAAAGTTTACAATACACGGCTATGCCCATCTTGTGTGGTTAAAAAAAGTGTAGAAGTACCTACCTATACTATTGACAGCAAACCAGTGCACATGAATTTAGAAGTGTTGGGATATAAAGAGTGGCCGCAGTGGGAGTAATAGCCTGTTAAAGATGGACTGTGCTTCTCCAAGAGTAAAGTGAGAAAAACGAGAGGATGTCTCATTTGGGGAACTGGAGAAGAAAGGTATATTTTATTTACCTGCAGTAAATTTAAACTTAAGTATGTATTTGTTACCGGGCTTATTAAAGTGCTAAGTTTATAGATAAGCGCTCTCTATCTCACTCACTCACTGTGTATGCATGTGTTCTTGGTTGTTTGTCAATGCTAAGGATTAAACATAGGCATGCATGTTAGCTAAGTGTGCCTCCCTAGCACTGAGGTGTGTTCAGCCTCCCCTCCTTATATTATTTATTTATTTATTTATTTTTTTGGGAGATGGGACCTCTCATCATTCAGGCTAGCTTCAACTCACTGTATAGCTGAGGATGTCCTTCAACCCCTAATACTCTGCTTCTGCCTCCTAAGTGCTGGGATTACAGGCATGGGCCATCATGTCTGGCTCCAGCTTCTCTCTCTCTCTCTCTTTCTCTCTCTCTCTCTTGTGAGGCAGGGTCTTTCTGTATAGCTTAAGCTGGCTTTGAACTTGTGAGGTTTTTCATCTTGAACCTCTTGAGTGGTAAGATTACAGGTGTGTACTACCTTTCCTGGCTATTACTTAATATGCTAAATGTGTTCTGTGTGCCACAGTTTTGTCTACTTCTGACCAAAGTTTGTTCTTGTTTTGGAAAAGCTGAATGGAGTAAGCGTGGAGTAGGTTCTAAGGCTTAACCCCAATAATTAGTTTGCTTTTCATCTGGCATATTTAAAGAATGTAGGTAAAGCTTTGCATGGTAGCTATTCAGGATGCTGAAGCAGGAGGCTAGCTTAAGCCTGGTGTTTGAAGCTAGCCTGGGCAAGATCCTGTCTCTTAAAAGAACACACATGTATACCAATGTATATGCAAACATATCTTGTGACTAACAGTTCCTTCAGCTACTGTTTATGACAGTTTTGTTTGATTGACAGTTTTGTTTGATTGCAGTTGGCTGCATCTTGATTAAAGTTTGTCTTAATGGAAAAGTAGTTTTTTTTTTTTTTTTTTCCCTTTGTGCTGAACTGAGGTACTGATGTAAAAATTTAATGTGACCAGGAAATGGATCTCTGAGAGTCTTCACAATTCTTCAGTATTTCTAGGTCCTTCCCTCTTAACTACACTTAGAGCTGATGTATTGTCTATAGGAAATAGAAAAAGTAGCATTGGCGGCTGTGTTAATTGATATGACTATAGACCAGCAGTCCAGTGCTACATAGTTGAGACCTGTCTTTAAAGAACAAATAAAATACTTGTTTGGGATCTCTTGCTATATTATGAATGAGTATTCTTGTTTTAAGAAATTAAGAGTTTAGAAAATGGATATGTACTTAATTGTATTACAAAAGTTTTATATTCCCACATGGTTCTATAAAATAGTATATCTTTTTGTGAGTCAAAACATATCTGCAAAATGGTTAAGGATATTGGTAAGTAGAACTGAACAAATTGGGCTAGTTGATAGATTTGGGATGACCTTTTTAGAACTACATACTTTTCATGCATGATTTTGTTTTAGTTCTTTTTGTGGTTGTTTTGAGACAATCTCTTTATGTGGCCTTGGGTGGCCTAAGACTCACTGTGGACAGGGCTGGCCAGAGATTTTCCTGCCTCTGTCTTCTAAGTGCTGGGATTAAAGGTGAACACCACCATCACTCTGTTTGATTCTGATTATTAAAGACACAGAATTCCTAAGAATGTTGCTAATTGGTAGGCAGCAGTGGTTATCTAAGGGTGTGAATGGGCAGCTTCATGGAGCAGTACATCTCACAGTAAAGGAGGACAGTGTATGAGTGTATGTGTAACTCCTAGTTCTCTGAGTATCTAGATTTGCAGATAAGAGACTCTTAGAGTTTCCCTTCAGAGTGTAAAATCTGTGTCTCAAGGGGGAAGGAGATTAGTTGGTCTTTGCAAGATTGATTTATTCTTGTTGGTTTGTTTTGAGACAGGATTTCTTTGTATAGCCCTGGCAGTCTGGAGCTCACTTTGTAGGCAAGGCTGGCCTGGAACTCAAAAATCTGCCTGCCTCTGTCTCCCAAGTACTGGAATTAAAGGCATGTGCTGCCACCACCATCACCTGGTCCAAGATTGATTTTTATCTTATGTGTTTCAGTGTTTTGCTTGCTTGCATGCTTACCACAGAAGCTAGAAGAGAGTGTTGGATCTCTTAGAACTGGAGTTACAAACAGTTGTGAACCATCATGTGGGTGCTGAGAGTCAAACATGGATCCTTTAGCGGCAACGTTCTTAACTGCTGAGCCATGTCTCCAGCCCCAGACTTTGCTTTCCTAGTCTAGAAAACTTGGGTCTATGAACATGTGTCATGGTCAGAGAATAAGACATGTAGAAAGTTAACGTTTTCATGTTTTACACAGGTTGTAAGCATCAATAATGTCTTTCATCTTTGAGTGGATCTATAATGGCTTCAGCAGTGTGCTTCAGTTCCTAGGTAAAACTATTTTTATGGACTACATTAGAGGTTATAACTACATTTCCTCAAATAATTTCTATTTAAGGGGCCTTTGGTGGGGAGAACATTAAAACGTTCTTTTCTCTTGTAGGACTCTATAAGAAATCTGGAAAACTTGTATTCTTGGGTTTGGACAATGCAGGCAAAACCACTCTTCTTCACATGCTGAAAGATGACAGACTAGGCCAGCACGTACCAACACTACATCCCAGTAAGTTTTAGAATATCATGTCACATTTTGACTGTCAGTGTCATGCGTGGAGGATGAATGAATCCCCAGTTAATGTAGTTCAGTTACTAACTGAGGCCCCTGAAGCAGATTACTCAAGTTAATATGAACACACTTGGGTCACTTACTCTGCATCTTTGGAACTTTGTCACTGACTTTGCTGACCAGTTCTGTAATGAGACACAGCTCCCAATCTGATCTTAGGCAGAAAACTTCTTAGGGAAGAGGGAAATAGAAGCTTTTTAGCTTAAGACTTGTTTTCATTTCTGTGCCCTCTTTAAAATTTTTTTCTTTAAAGATTTATTATGTATACAGTGTTCTGCCTGCCTGTATGCCTGCACACTAGAAGATGGCACCAGATCTCATTACAGATGGTTGTGAGCTACCATGTAGGTGCTGGGAATTGAACTCAGACCTTCTGGAAGAGCAGTCAGTGCTCTTAATCACTGAGCCATCTCTCCAGGCCCCTGTACCCTTTTCTTTACAAAATAAAAATATGATTACATTTGTGTTAGTATCAATTTTTAGGAGTAGCACCTGCACCTTTGGTTGGAAGTTTGTTTGTTTATTGCCTTTTTGGTCATTTTCAGCCTCAGAAGAACTGACAATTGCTGGAATGACTTTTACTACTTTTGATCTTGGTGGACATGAGCAAGGTAAGAGACTGCGTGAGGATGTGTCGTTTAACCTTTTTAAAATTAAATAATTGTGTGTGCATGTGCATGATGATGGGGTGTGCATGTTGTGGAGGTTGGGAGAATTGGATCTTTCCTTCCACCTTTACATGGTTTCTGGGGCTCAAACTCGGGTCTTGAGTGAGCTGTCTCACCAGTGGCCCTCCACCTCCCTCCCTCATTTTACCTTGTAAGTTAGTTGTATTTAGGATTAGCGTTTTATTACTTCAGTGAAGTTACTTCATCTACTTTTCTTTTTGAGACAGGCTTCATGTAGCCAGGGTAGCCATGAATTCCTTCATCTCTGCTTTCACCTCCCATGTGCTAGGGTTACAGACATGTACCACCATGCCTGAGTTTTTCTAATTACAATTGTGTATTTTTTTAAAAGTGCAAATATAGGGAATTTTGTTTACTTAACAGATTTTGTCCTGATTTTCTAGTCTCTTTAATACATAGTACTATTTTATGAATCATTTGTGAAAAGTTTTATCTACTCAACCACATGTATTGTTCAGTAGTCTTGTTTTTTGTTAGCTTGTTTTTTTTTTTTTTTTTTTTTTTTGTAGTCTTGTTTTTGAGACAGGATCTCAATATATAGCTTTGGCTGGCCTGAACTTTATATAGACCAGGATGGCCTTAAAATGTCATGTTTCTATTTAGTTACCATGCCTGTTTTGTGTACTTTATTGGGTAGAACATGAGTATACAGGTGATTATTACTTGACAAGTAATTTTAAATTTCTCAAAGGTTCCCAAAAGAACACAGTATGTGTTTGTGACCCCTGGAACTGTATTTTGTGTGTTCTGCTCATTTGGGACAGTTGGGACATTTTCTGTTACTTTTTTGCTTAGTTCTAGGTCCATTTTGCCCAATTTGGCCTATGTCTCTGGCTCTTAGATTCCTATAAAGTGCTTTCTATGGATATTTGTTTATTTGCTTTTAATTTACACCTATAACTTGTTTTTAAATTACTTTGTGTGAGTGTTTTGCCTGCGTGTATGTCTCTGTGCCATGTGTTCCTGGTGCCCACAGAGTCTAGAAGACGGTATTGAATCCTCCAGAACTGGAGTTGTAGACATTTATAATCTGTCAGGTGGGTGCTGAGAATAGAACCTGAGTCCTCTGGAAGAGCAATCAGTACTCTTACCTGCTGAGCCATTTCTCTAGCCTTGTAAAATTTTTTTAAAAGATTACTTTTATTTATAATTGTGTGTGTGTGGGGGGATTGCATATGAGTGTAGGCACTGGCAGAGGCTAGAGGCATTGGAATCCTCCTGAAGCTGGAGACCTTGGTGCTGGGAACTGAACTTGGGTCCAGTAATATACACTCTTAACCACTGGATCATCTCTCTAGTCCCTGCTGACTCTGTGTGTGTGAGAGAGAGAGAGAGAGAAAGAGGGAGAGAGAGCAGACTCAGCCTGGTCCAGGCCAAAGAGGGTGTTAGATCCCATGGAGCTGTAGTTGCAGACTGTAGTGAGCTGCCAGTGGTGCTGGGAACCAAATATGGGTACTCTAGAGGAGCAGCAAATGTTCTTAAGTACTGACCCTCGTCTCTAAGCAACCCTGAACTGGTTTTGTTTGTTTGTTTTTAACAAATAAATGTTTTTGAATATTCATTCTCTGTGTGTGTGTTTGCACGCTATGGGAAACCTGTGAGTTTAGAGAACACCTTGTGGGAACTGAGTCTTTCCTTCCACTGTGTGGGCTCTAGGGATTAGACTCAGGTCACCAGGCTTAGTGGAAGTGCTCTTACCTGCTGAGCTATCTTGTTGGCTTCTGGCCCTGAACTCTTCATCTTCTTACCTCAGACTCCCAGCTGCTGTCATTACAGGTGTATACATGTAGAAGTTACTACATTATTGTGTGTCTTGATGCTTTTTATTTGCATAACTTTAATATTTTAATTTATAAAGGCTGCACAGGCTTGTAATAAACTGTCAGTGTGTGACAAGGAAGTGAAAGTGAAAGCTGCAGCCTCTCCCACCCTACTTCCAAAGGCAGCCAGGTGACCATGCAGTTCTGCCTCCTTAGTCATACAATGTGGGTATGGTGGCACATGCATGCACTCCTAGCACTGGGGAGTTGAGTGTCAGCTTAGACCACGTGGGAAGATCCTATCTCAAAAAACAAATCCCTTACGTTTTGAGAATGTTGCTCACGGAATTCAATTCTCACCACCAATGCCCTGAAATGATAATATATATATAATCACTTATTGCTGGCATGTTGGTATAGATCTGTAATTTTAGTACTGGGTTACTGAGACAGAAAGATGGAGAGTTCAAGGCCAGCCTAGGCTATACATTGTGGGACTGTGTCTTTTAGAACAATGACAAACAAAAGCACTGCTTAAATATTGGAGACTGAGTACCTGGCCTGAGAGTTTCAAATACCTACCAGGCCTCCCACTCAAATCTGTCTGCACATATGCTCTTTAGCTATTAGGAACTGACACGGGGCTAAAATTCTATGAACAATTAATTCATATTATAGTGTTTTAACTTGAAGGATGCAAACAAAGTTAGCTCCAGGACCCAAACAGGTCAATTTATTATTTTCTGCATTTATAGCATTGGGACTAGTGGAGATTTTGGCAAACTTTAACGAAGGGGACAGCCGTTAAGTTACAGATGGGTATGGAGTTGCTAGGTTCACCCTTTGTCAAGGAAGGAAGAATCTCTTAGCTGTCAAAATTCAGGATTTGCTCACAGGCCATCAATATGTGTCCTCTGTTCTAACTACTGTTGGCCAGGACTTGGTGAGCTCAGCAGTTCTCATTTTATAGACCATTAGGTTATTCACTTGTCAACTGTTTTGTTGATCTACAAATTTTGTCTTTTAGCACGTCGGGTTTGGAAGAATTATCTCCCAGCGATTAATGGGATAGTTTTTCTGGTGGACTGTGCAGATCATTCTCGTCTCATGGAATCCAAAGTTGAGCTTAATGTAGGTTTATATTTTTATATATCTTTTCCTGTCTTGCCCGTTGTTTTAAGAACTACAACTTAGTAGTACCAGTACTTAATGTGGCCAGAGTTCTAGAAGAGAGGATTTTTAAATCGGAGATATTTTTTTTAAAGATGTATTTATTTTTATTTTTTATGTATGTGTTTTGCCTGAATCTATATATGGGTGTTATGTGCTTGCCTGGTGCCTGCAAAGGCCAGAGGAGGGCAGTGGATTCCAGTGCTCTTAACCAACCTCTGATCTATTTCTCTAGCCCAGTGAGATCTAGTTTTTCAGTGCCCTGAGGAACCTCAGCTTGAACTTGAGTAACTAGTTTTATAGTTATTCAAAATTATATAATAAGGTTGACTGATGTCTCAAGTGCTCACAACACTCCTCAGTTCTGCCTGCTGTCCCAGCCTAGTTAGAAATGTTCACTTGTTGTCATTGCTCTTTATGTAGTCTTGATTAGTAAAACTAATTTTATTATTTTGTTTTTTCAAGACAGGGTCTCTCTGTGTAGCTTTGGAGCCTGTCCTGAAACTAGCTCTTGTAGACCAGGCTAGTCCTGAACTCACAGAGATCTGCCTGCCTCTGCCTTGTGAGTGCTGGGATTAAAGGCATACACCACCAATGCCCAGCTTCTTTATGTATTTTATATCTTTGGGTGTTCTGTCTGCTTGTATATCTGCACTCCAGAAGAGGGTATCAGATCCCACGGGACTTCAGTTACAGATGGTTGCGAGCCTCCATGTGGATGCTGGGAATTGAGCTCAGGACCTGGAAGAACAACCAGTGCTCTTAACCAGTTGACATCTCTCCAGCCCTGAGTTTTTATATTTTTGAATCTACTTCTATAGAGTCATGTGATGGACTTTGGTGGTGTGTTAGCACTCTTCAGTTTTTTACCCACTTTCACTTAGGTTTTCTCCTTTGTCAGACTTTGTATAATAATGTTCCTATTCCTTCACCTCTGTTTTATTTTTAAAGTTATTTTGTATGTGTATGTGTACCATATGTATGCCTCTTGTTTATGGAGGCCAGAAGAAGGTGTCATATCCCATGGAACTGGAGTTTCAGAAGATTGTGAGCTGGGTGCTGAGAACCAAACCCAAGTCCTCTACAAAAGCAGTGTTCTTAGTCACTTAGCCATCTCTCAGGTGTTTTAATGTATGTTTCTAATGCTTAGGTCTTATTTTGTGTGGGACTAACTGCTTTCCTTTCCTAAGCTCTAGTTCTCTTTTTCTTTCTCATGCTCATTGGTGTTTCGCTTGCATGTATGTCTGTGTGAGGGTGTCAGAAACCCTGGAACTGGGGTTACAGACAGGTGTGAACTGCCAGTGGGAATTGAACCTAGATGCTTTGGAAGAGCAGCCAGTGTTCTTAACCACTGAACCATCTCTCCATCCTTTACTGTATACTCTTGATTTAATTTTTATTTGTTTTATTAATTTGTTTGGCATTTTGGAGACAGGGTCTTGTGTTGACCAGCCTGGCCTGTTGTTCAGTCTCCCAAATGCTGGGATTGCAGGAGTGCAGCACATGTCCAGCCAGTGTCAGCTCTTGTGCTTGTTCATCTGCTTGCTCCTAAATGGACTAGTCCTGACCTGAAGTTCCTTCTGTCATCATCTGCATGATAGTGCCTCCTGCTGAGATCCAGCCTTACAGTGCTGCCTACTGGATGGTCCTTCCAAAGCGAAGCTATTGATGATCCTCTCCACCATCTGCCATGCAGCGGAATGCCAGAGGGAACTTGTCAAGCACTCCCCTGCTTGTTTCCTTTAATGGTTTCATTTACTTTCAGGGAAAGACACACACTTTCTCCCTGTTCTTCATCAGATGCCCAGTTTTGAAGTCCATGCCAGCACCGTCTTCTCTTTTATCTGATAATATTGTTTTAGAAATTTACTTCAATTCTTCCCAGAATCCTACTTGCACAATCCATTAAATTCTGCTGTCTTACAGATCATCTCATAGATGGGCATGACAGACTGTTTATCAGTTCACTGTCTTGAAAGTGTACATTTGGTGACTTTAGATCTAGTGCAGCTTAAATTTGCAGACTGAAGCTGTGACGTGGGTTGTTGGTTGCCCTCATATTTGCTCTGTTGCTGCACATCTGTGTAAATGTCTTAATTCAGTTAAGCAGTGCTCTGTATGGCTTCTTAAATTCTCATGCTGTTGCAGGGCCATTGATTGAGTCCACTTACCAAGTGGGGCCCAGTTTCTATTCTACATCTTGCCTAGGATTTTGTTCAGGCATGAATTGGGATGTTTCCCTGAACACGCCAGTGTTGACTTTCTGTCCCAGTTCACTGTGGCACTCAGCACGTTGTTTTTATCTAGGTTTGTTAACATAAGTATGAATCCAGGGCATCTCACCTGTGAAGCTCTTGGCACCTAATGACAACATCAGATGCAAAGAGGACTTCATGATGCCTTATAAAACCAAGAGAAGTTGACTCTTATTACGTAATGAGCTTTCATTTTATAAGTTGCTCACTTGGGTTTGTTTTTTTAATCCTGTCTTTAGGCTTTAATGACTGATGAAACAATATCCAATGTGCCAATTCTTATCTTGGGAAACAAAATTGACAGGACAGATGCAATCAGTGAAGAAAAACTCCGTGAAATATTTGGGCTTTATGGACAGACTACAGGAAAGGTAAGAAAAAAGTCTGGCCTGAAGAGGATAACCATAGTACTTAAATGTGGGTGCTTTTTCTTTTCTGTTTCTTGAGACAGGGTCTCTTCAGTGTGGATGTTTTATTAGGGCCATATCCTTGAGCCACCATCCTCCTTCCTCTCCTTTTTTTCTTCCCTTCTTCCTAGTGATACAAAAAAAGGGCTTTGAACCCAGGGTCTTGTACATGCTGAGTAAGTGCTGTACCACTGAGCCATGTTCCTACCTCTTTACCTGTTTTCTAATACCTAATATTTGAAGAAATTGTAGAAGAGACAGTTTTCTTTTAATATTTTATATGTATGGGTATTTGCCTGCATATGTGCACCACGAATATGTAGTGCCCATGGATGTCAGAAGAGGGTGTTAGAGACCCTGGAACTGGTGTTAAAGATTGTTGTTAGCCACCATTGGATTCTAATATTTACTTTTGGATTTAAAAAAAAAATTAGTTATTAATACTATTTTGAGACAAAGTCTGTGTAGACTAGGTTAGCCTTGAACTCATAGAGGTCTGCCTGTCTCTGCTTCCCCAGTGCTAAGATTAAAGGCATGTGCTAGCACAGTTGACGTCTGTTTTTTTTTTTTAAAGAATTTTCTGCTGCTGAGAATATGGCTCAGTAGTTGAGTATGTTTTGCTTTTATAGGGAACCCAAATTTATTTCTTAGTACCTGTGTTGGGCAGCTCACAACCACTTGTGACTCTAGCTCCAGGAAATTTGACATTACTTAATGGCCTCAATGCACACGGCATTCACCTGCACATTACATAATTAAACATAAAAATAAATCTTAAAAATTATTACATATGCTTTCCAAGTATTAAGATCAAAGCATTAGGTTATTCTCAGTGCTTCTTGGTGTTATGAAACTATTATCCCGTTTTGCACATAAGGAAATAGTTTGTTCAGGTTCGCATAGCAAATGGATAATAAAACTAGAAATAGAACTGGAATGTCCTACATCGGTGTGCCCTATAGTGTGAAAAGAAGCTCAGGTCTGGAAAAAGCAGGCTGATGAGAGAAAGAATACAGAAATAAAACCTGGTACTTTGTGTATACTTGGTCATGTATGTAGAGATCTGAAGTCAACTTTGTCATTCTTAAGAATTTGGCACTCACCTATTGAGCTTTTTTTTTTCGTTGTTGTTCATAATTCCCATTTATTTATTGAGATAGGGTCTTTCTGTGTAGCCTTGGATAGCCTAGAACCACAGACTGGATTCTGACTCACAGATCCACCTGCCAGTGCCTCCAGAGTGCTGGGATTAAAGGTGTGCACCACCACGACGTGCTTAGTTCCATAGTCTTCTTTCATTTATCTGTTTATTTCTAGAAATGCATATTCAGGGCAGCAGGGGCTACACAATGAAAACCTACCTTTATTGCACTTATTCTTCTGTGTGGGTGTGAATGCTTCCTCCTCCATTAAGCTCATTTGGCTGTCCTCTTCTGTATGAGTGCTGCATACACATCAGTTTCTTCCCTGCAACCTGACGTTGTTTCTGAATACTTACGTTAATGGATATACCAAAATGTCCAAACTGTTTTGTCTGTCGTAGAACATGCTGGGACCATGGGTTTGTAAAGTTTTCTTCACAGTTCCTTGTCTTAACTGCCCAGGTGAATGTTGAACATTCAGAGCAAATGCTTTTCAGAGACACAGGATGAGGAGGCAATGTGTAGAAGCTGTTCGTTTTTCTTCTGAAGCAGGAGGCTGCAGAAGTCATCTGTGTGGCCAGACACATTTTGCAGTCAATGTCTATGTGTGTTTGTACTTTTGCATGTGGAAGTCCTAACAGGCCTTTCTGGGTTTTTCCTCCCTTAGGGAAATGTATCCCTGAAAGAGCTAAACGCCCGCCCTATGGAAGTATTCATGTGCAGTGTGCTCAAGAGGCAAGGCTACGGCGAGGGTTTCCGCTGGCTCTCCCAGTATATTGACTGATGTTTGGACAGTGAAAATAAAGAGTTTTTCTTCTGGACTGATCCTATTCACAGCTTCCTCATGGACTTTTCTAATAGAACAAGGAAAGCTCTCCAACCATGTCTGGCGTTGAGAAGCCACACATCCCTGTCTACGCTCATTGCCCAGTGGTGACATGTGCTCTTCTCCACTCGTGGGAAGTAACACTGCCTGTCTGCTGAAGCAGGTCAGTGTGCAGGGACTAGGGCTGGCAGGATTTGTCAGGAAAAGCTGGGTGCCATCATGGGACACCTGGAAAGAAAAACACGTCTCACCACTGGTTGATTTCAAAAGAAAGTGATTCTATTTTTTAAAGAAAGTGTTGTTAATGTAATTGGTAACCCTTCTCTAACTTTTTAAGTTCACAATTTACTTGGTCCAGATTTTCTATTCTTTTTTTTTTTTTTTTTTTTTCCTAACTAGTAAATGAAATTTAGATACTTCGTAAAATTTGAACAGAGCTCCGCTGTCTAACTGCCTAGTTGGAGGTGGCACCGGAGCACAAGTGCTAGGAGAGGATGGAGCCTTGGCCTTCACTGGGGCGTCCTCCACTGTGGTAAGGGGAGTACCTCATCTGGAATGGGAAGTGTCATTGTTACATTGTCAGCTTTACTTGCAGTTAGCAGTTTCAGCAGGCCTTGGTTTTATGCTGTTGTGGACTTTTATCTTTCTGTGTAGCACCTTCCTTTTTTCACTGTAGATATAAAAAGTGACTTTTGCCTCATGAAAGAGTTAACATCTCTGGTGTAGACCCACATGCTGAGTGTCTCAAGCTTCTTACCAGGTTCTAGAAGGGTGTGTGTGTAGGTTCTGAACAGGAGGACACAGGTCACAGTCACTGTGACCTCTCTGTGTGCTCTGGTAGTGCTACAAGTGCACCTAGGAAAGACTTTGAGTGGGCTCTGTGGCTTCCACTCCAGAAGTAAGCAGAGAAACACAAAATGGCCTTCCTGTCTGGTTTTTGGCGTCAACTCCCGGCAACAGTGAGCATTGGTGGAAAGCAGCAGCAGCCCTCTAAGGATTATAGCATTTGGTTTACTTGAGTTTTCATGATGTTAACTATATATTCTGTCCTTGTAGTAGATGGAAGGAGAGATTCTCTGCAGAAGGGAGGTTATCTTCTTATTTCCTTTATTGCAACATGGGAAGTATGTTCTTCAGTGGAAATGCTGCTGCTGTTGCTGCTGCTACTGCTGCATTGTGACATGCTTGTGTCCAGCAAGAGGGTAGGGAAGGTGGGTAGCACACTTGGGGAGTGAGTTTTCACTTGTTAGTTTTGAGCATTGAGCATGTGGGACAGTGTTCTCTTACACTGTCAGGTTCCTAATATAGAGGCTTGGTGAGGTTACCTTGTCTGCAAAGTGCATGCCTTGCATTCACCCATGAATAGCTGGAATGAGAACTGTCAGTGTGGAAAGGGTTGTTAAAGCCTTAATGAAGGAATCCAGTTGGCAGTGAGTGAACTAGGCTAGGTTCTGATATGTTTTTCATTACTTTTGGCTAAAGGCTGCCCTTATGGTCTCTGTCCAGACACATGACAGGTATGATTGCCTTAGTATTGGTTTTCTTATTTGTCTTTCTCATTTGTCCCTAATTACCCTGTAGCAAAGCTAGAAGACTGGACTCTGCCCAGGGCGGCTCTTTGTGAAAGTGGTTTATTCTGGCCACTGGAGAAAGAGATGACTGAAAAGTGGCACCAGTCTGTTTCCTGCCCCACAGACAGCATCCTAAATAAGGTGGCCAAAAGAAGCTACCCCAGTGAGCACAGCTCCACCAGAGGGTCAGGACCTTCCTTGTGCAGGGTCTCCGATGAATGGAAACTCTCCATTCTGTTCATCAGAGCGCAAAAGTAAAACTGTCATTTACAAAAGGTCAGTCTGTAGCCGAAGCATTTTAATAAAAAGCTAAAATGAACTTGCCTCTTTTTTTTTTTTTTTTTTTTTTTTTTTTTTTTGCATTGATTTGTTTAGAGTGAACATGCAGTTTTACCTGTGTTAGGAGGGAAAACAAACATTCTTCCTTACACATAGGAACATTTAGAGTGAATGTGAGACTTGAACTGCTACTAGGATAAAAGACAAAATAAAAAAGGTTGGGCACTAGTAGTAGCAAATGTAGTAGTACTGTTTGAGCATCATGCTGTGGACCTGAGGTTGTTGGCCATCTCTGCAACAGAATGCCAGTGACTTGTGCTTGAACATATCGACTAACAGCCCTCATTCCACACACTGGAGTGAACCATTACAGAGCCACATGTGACAAAACAGAAGTCTGTGGTTCTGCGTTCACAGTTGCTTATAGAAAGTACCAGAAGACAGAGAACTACAACAGGTGTTTGTTGTTTGCATTTTGTTTGTTTTTTGAGACAGTTTCTCTGTGTAACAGTCCTGGCTGTCCTCAAACTCACAGAGATCTCTCTGTCTCTGAAGTTTTGGGAATAAAGGTGTGCACCACCACTGCCTGGGCACAACATGTTCTTTAAGGCAAAGAAAGGATCACGCTGGATATCCCCTGTGGTCACCATTACAGTGAAAAGAGACTGGTTCTGTGGGCAAAGGGTATGTTCACTGGGGACAAAGGAACCTGAGTGTGAGTCATTGAGTCTTAATCTGAGGTCCTTAATGCCAACTGCTGCCTGCTGTCTGACTTGCCCTAAACACAAAAGTTTGATAAGGAATAGAGGGTGTTGGAGGCTTCGAGTACATTGAAGAGAAATTGTTGGATTCCAGAGAAAAAGTCTTAATTGCCAGGAAGTTGGGGAAAGTAAGAGATCTTGTGGCCGCCTATGTTGGCAAACCACGACTGCCTACCTGGGAATACCCTGGAACTGTGGAGGAAATTGTAAGCTGCCATGTGGGTACTGGGAACCAAACTATGGTCCATGGTTAAGAGCAGTAATGAGTGGCTCTTAACTGCTTGAGGCCTCTCCGCAATCTTGATTTTTACACTTGTAAAAGGTGGGGGAGGCCAATTTTGTGATACGAACTACTTATGAAATTCAAATTTATGAGGCTGTTCCTGAGTTCCGTTGAGTATTTGGTGGTGAATACTGCATAGCCCCCCCAAAAAACTTTTTATTCTAGATTTTAAAAGACAAAAAGTATTTACCCCCTGGTCTAACGCAAATCCTGAGTGGTGGTTAGAAATGTTATGTGAAATGTGCATGCTCGTTAGTATAATATATAGGTTAAATAATTTAACCTGTGTGTGATAGTGTACAGCTTTAATCCCAGAACTGTAAAATGCTGAGGCAAGAAGGATCGCCAAAGTTCAATGCCAGTGTGGGCTAACTAGTGGGACCCTGTCTCAGAAACAATCGGATTCTAAAAGCTGGATTGGTGGGTGGTGTGGGAATTTTGATAGCTGTCCTAGGAGCAATTTTCTGAGTCGTGTGTCCCCTGCTGGATTGTTACAGGATTTACTTTAAAATTCAAAGTAGATAATCCATCAAGGGTTCCCATGGCACGTGTTGTCCCAGCTTCAGGGACAGAGATGGCTTACACCTGTGCAGAGCCTATGGGGACCAGTTATATGCTGTCCAAATACGAGATTCGCCAGGGGAGTGATGCCCTTGTCAGTCTGCCTTTAATGCTAAGGGGCTGTTGCCCAGGAAGTTTCCCAAGGGTTCCAGGTTGGATAAACCAGAGGGCGGGCTAAGCATCAGTAGCCAATCGGTACTCGGCGCCCTGCCCAGCCAATAAGGGCGGTTGCTTGGGGCTTAGCCAATCGGGCTCGACGAGGAGACCTGAGTCAGCGCTTGCGCCGGTCGCCCTGTGGTGACAGCCATTGTGCGACGACGACTTGGGGGAGCTATGGGACGGCAGTGGGGGCCTTCCATGAAGGTGGCAGAGCAGTCGGGCTGCGTAGTGAGTGCCTCGCGGGCCGGGCAGCCCGACGCAGCCTCGTGGAGTTGCAGCGGGGTGATCTTGAGCCGCAGTCCAGGCCTTGTGCTGTGCCATGGGGGCATCTTCACCCCCTTCCTGCGGTCGGGCAGCGCGGCGCTGACCCAGACGGGTGCCACCTTCCTGCCCGGCGACAGTTGCAGCGATGACCTGCGCCTGCACGTGCAGTGGAGATCGACGGCTGCCAGCCCCGCTGGTCGCGCGGAGCAGGAGCTCCCGGGGCTGTGTACACCTCAGTGTGCAAGCTTGGGCCTCGAACCTGGCGCCGCCAGCCGGGCCCGAGCACGGTCTCTGCAGCCCCCGCGGCCTGCGCAGCTGTTGCTGCTGCTCAGCTGCCCGGCCTTCCGCTCCCACTTCGCACGGCTCTTTGGGGCCGAAGCAGCAGAACAATGGCACTTCGTGAGCTCAGCGCCGGACGACGCGGTGTCGGAGGAGGAGGAGGAGGACCAGCTACGTGCGCTCGGCTGGTTCGCGCTGCTGCGGGTGCGGCCAGGCATGACGGCGGAGGAGAGACGGGGGCCGGCCGTGGCCGTGGCGCCGCTGGGGACCGTGGCCAAGGGCGCGCCGCTGCTGGCTTGCGGCTCTCCGTTCGGCGCCTTCTGCCCGGACATCTTCCTCAACACGCTGAGCCGGGGTGTGCTCAGCAATGCTGCGGGGCCTTTACTGCTCACCGATGCTCGATGCTTGCCGGGCACGGAAGGCGGAGGCGTGTTCGCTGCACGGCCGGCGGGTGCTCTGGTGGCGCTGGTGGCCGCCCCGCTCTGCTGGAAGGCCCGAGAGTGGGTGGGCCTCACGTTGCTTTGCGCTGCGGCCCCGCTGCTCCAGGTCGCCCGCTCTGCGCTCGCATGCCTGCATCCGGACTCCACCTCCCTGTTGGCTCTGCTGCCACCGGAGGTGGGCGCCCCGCGGGGCCCGCCCTTGCGAGACCTCGGCCCCCCGTGGGCAGCTGCGGCTGTGCTGGTGGAGTGTGGTACTGTGTGGGGCTCCGGAGTGGCCGTGGCGCCTCGCCTGGTGGTGACCTGCCGGCATGTTGCTCCCCGGGAAGCAACCAGGGTCCTGGTGCACTCGGCCACCCCCAAGTAAGGCCCAAGGCTGCCTCCCCTCACCAGGTATCAGTGTGGAGGCTATGTGGGACAATCTTAAGTCCTGTAGAAAATGTTAGAGACCTCGGCTCATTTTTGACAACCAGAACCCCACTGAGGGGATCTGGGCCTCCTAGTGGGCCCCAGTGGAATTTGAGCAAACTACTAGACACAAGCAACTCTTAGCACAGGGACCCAGGGAACTATGCGTGCCTTTACGCCCCTGAACTAGCCTGAAACCCATTGGACAGCTCCTCTGTTAGCTTTGTAGTTTAGGCCACATTAAAGCTCCTTGACCAGAGAATACATACCCTAAGGATTTCCACCCTGTAAGACTATAGTATAAGGGGTGAATGAAGGCCCTGAGGTGATGAGATGGCCCTCCCCAGTCAGGGCTCCCTTAGTGCCTCATTAGGGCTGCCCTGGCACCTGAAGATGAGGCTTTTCCTAATTAAAATGTAGGACTTGGGCCCGTGTGGATGGCTGTGTTCTGAACAGTCTGTAACCTCAGAGTGCAGCTAGGCAGGGACTTCTACAGTCATCTTCTCCCTCTGTAGAGAGAAACACCTTTACCCTGCTTTTCTCGCTCTGGCAATGAGCCAGTGACCTGGGCTTTCCAGGCATGATTTTCTGTAGTTCTGTCCCTCTGTAGCCTCTGCATAGCTGAGGACAAAGTAGCACCTTTGGTTTAAGCCTGGCCTTCGACTAACAAACACCCCGGGCCTTTCTGAACTTCTGAGGTTAGCCCTGCATGCTGAGCAGCTTTGCCAGAGTCCCCACAGGCAGCAAACCCAACAGTTGTGATTTCCTAGTGAAAACAGGGATTGCCTGATGTGTCCCCTGATTCCTCTCTAGCTCTTCCCTTGACTGCTGATCTTAAGGAATTCACTAGGTTTTCTGTAAGCACCAGGCTAGGCAGAAATAAGGTACCTCTGTGTCTGATCTACACAGTGAGTTCCAGGACAGCTAGGGCTATGTAGAGAGACCTTGTCTCCAAAAAAAAAAAAAAAAAAAAAGACACCCTTACCCCAATCCCTGACCATCTGTGAGGCAGTACAGCATTCGGGTAGATTCGCCCTGGCTCCTTATTTGCTCTGTGACCTTTTGGAAGGTTGCTCATCCTCACCATCCAAAGAAGATAATACCAGTGCCTTGTCTATAGGCATAAGACGACTAGATGAGGATAGCCACAAGCATCGACAAGGCCACATAGCACTCACTAGATAACAGGTGCTGGTTATGGTAAGGCATAAGCAGTGTATGGAAGTACACTACAGTTTGTAAAGCATATCTGGTTAAGGTTTCAGGGCTGCCATCTACACCCACAAGTTATGACTTCATAACTCTTTTTTTTTTTTTTTTTTAAGACAGAATCCCATTATGTAGTCCTGGCTGTCCTGGAACTCAATGGAAATCTGCCTGCCTCTGCCTCCCAAGAGCTAGGATTAAAGGTGTGTACCACTAAAATCAGCCCATCCCGTGACTTTTATTGTCTCTCATATTGCTCTCTCCCCAGTGCTAAATCAGAAAGCTAGCTTGTCATTTGTTTCCTGTGTCCCCAGGAATGTGGCAATCTGGGGTCGAGTGGTGTTCGCCACTCAGGAGACCTCTCCATACGACATAGCAGTGGTGACCCTGGAAGAGGACCTGAATGGTGTCCCCACGCCTGTCCCTGCTGAGCACTTCCATGAAGGTAAAGGACAAAGAGTCCAGTGTGATGGGAGACCAGGCTGGACCCCATTTGGGACCCCATTAGTGTTGACACTAACCTTTCTGCATCCCCTAGCAAAGGAGTTAGGAACTTCCTTTGGGTTTGTACTATAGATGCCCTTGCGTATCAAGACACCCCAAGTGCTGAGCCACATGGATACCATATTGAGGGCCTGCAGCAGTGTAATATGGGGAGTTGGGTTGTGGGAGCTCCAGTGGCATGATTTGGGTGAAAATCTGATCCTACTACTAATGCTAATGAAAAAGGGCATACTACCTAAGTATAGATGTATGTCTTCCTTCCTTTATTTTGTATACTTTGAGACAGGGCCTTAGGTAGCCATAGCTGGCAGTAAACAACATCTGGCCAAGGATGACTATAAACTTCTGGTCTTCCTGCCTCTTCCTCCTAAATACTAGGATTACAGGTGTGTGCTGTCATACCCTGTTTATGCATGATTATGTATGTTTACCCAGGATTTGTGCATGCTAGGCAAGCATTCTACCAACCAAGTTACATCTCTAGCCCCAAATATTCCATTTCATGTGGTGACAAGAGAGATAGGCACTTTGTGTTAGCAGCTCGCCTCTGCTACTGGTGTCCTTAGATACTTACTTAATTGACCCCCACATCTCAGTTTGCACCTTTGTCAGATGGGGCTGCCGCTCTTGCAGGTGAGGACTAGGTGAGATGTCCCTGTCCCTTCACAGCACTTGGAGAAGGTGGGGCTACCCTATGGCCACCATTACCGTGTCTTCATCAAGAGAAAGATGAATATTAATTATTCATATGAGCTATGTGACAACAGTCTCAAAAGGGAGTGTTAGGACTAGAGATCTGCCTGATGCTCCAGAATAGTGGTTGGACACGTGCAAGTGAGAACACAAAGACTTCTGCATCTCCCTGCAGGGTTCCTGGGGAAGCTGCCTGGGAGTGTCGAAGGGGATGAGCAGGAACTCAAAGGGGAGAGGATTAGACCTTTGGAGAGAGTGGGAAGTGAGTACTATGAATGGAGGTACCCAACTTCTCTTCTTCTCTTTCTGGCAGGCGAGCCTGTCAGTGTGGTGGGCTTTGGTGTCTTTGGCCAGGCCTGCGGACCCTCGGTGACCTCGGGCATTCTGTCAGCCGTGGTGCATGTGGATGGCACGCCAGTGATGCTACAGACCACATGTGCCGTGCATGGGGGCTCCAGCGGAGGGCCCCTCTTCTCCACACGCTCAGGGGATCTCTTGGGTAACCAGTTCCTTTCATTCCCAGTCTCCTTGTTGCCAGAGCCTTGATCTTGCCAGTGATCCTTGCATCCAGCTTGGGAGGCCCTCCTGGGATAATGGTGGGCCTTGTCCCTTGAGTTAGACAAAGTTTTCAGCTAATCTGCCTCTAAGCTGGGAGTGGGGAGAGCTAGCTAGGCCTGTGCCCCTCTCTTGATTCTGGCTACTGCTGTGACCTTGGGTAAGTCACCAACTCCCATTTAGTATGAAGTTTAGGAGTTGGTTTAGTTTGGGGGTCACAAACTCAAAAGTCTGTAGAGCTAGGCTTGTGAAGTAGTGAATGAGAACATGGGTGGAGGGCAAAGCAGGGGACAGTGGGCAAACATGGCTTAATTCAATAGACCATGACTTCGAAGTTAAGTGATGACTCAGGATGCCTGTTATTGTGTACGTGGTTGTTCAGTCCTTGTTTTGCTTTGATGCGGGGTCTCATGTTGCCTGGGCTGGTCTTGAATATAATATGTAGCCAAGGATGACCTTGAACTCTTAATTCTCTTGCTTCTACCTCCTAATTACTGGGGCTACAGGCATACACCACCACTTTTTAAGCTCTGGTGATGAATTCAAGATTTTTCAAAGACATAGTTGGTAGAGCAATTGACCTATACCACCAAACAAACCTATGGAGGAACAAAACCACCAAACTGCAGTCTTTTGCTAGCATGGCAAACAGCCCCACATGACGCCTCCCAGGCTGTGTGTGCGGCACTGCTTGCCTTGAGCTGGCTGCTGTTGTTTCTACCTTCTCTAACTCTTGTCTCCTACAGGGGTGGACTTTTCTCTTGGCAGTCTGTGTGGTAGCACTTACTTTAAGCTCTAGTGTACACTTAGAATTGTAAATCTACCTCCTTGTGAGCCACAACTCTAGCAAGTGTCTCAGCACTCGTGGGCAGGTTTCTTTCTCCAAGACATATCTCACCCTTAGCTCAAGCTGGCCTTAATTCGCTGTGTAGCCAAGGTGGGTCTTGAACTCAGGGCAGCCTTGCTGACTTAGTCTTTTGAATGCTGGGATTTCAGGCATGAGCCATCACAGTCAGCCTTTCTTTTTATTTAAGCCAGGGGGTGGTAGTACACACCTTTAATCCCAGAACTCAGGAGACAGAGGCAGGGGATCTCTTAAGTTTGAAGCTAGCCTGATATACAGAGCAAGTTCTATGACAGGGCTACACAGGATCCCCCCCCAAAAAAAAACTTTTTTTTTTTTTTTTTTATGTGTATGAATGCCTTACTGCATGTGTGTCTATGCATCATGTGATGTGGGGGCCAGAAGAGAGCGTAAGGTCCTCTGGAACTAGAGTTAGTGACCTGCCATGTGGGTGCTGGAACCAAGTCTAGGTCTTGCTGAGCCACTTCAGCTGCCCGATTTTTGCTTTGTAGTGTGTGATTGATGCTGGTATGATGGTACACATCTAAATCACAGCAGTGGAGGCAGGAGGGTTAGAAACAAATGCTCAGTGAAGGCTAGATGTGGTGGTGCATGGCTTTAATCTCAGCACTCAGGCAGAGATAGGCAGAGATAGGGTGTCAGTGAGTTCAAGGCCAGCCTGGTTGTAAACATTTATCTTTTTTGATGACAGAAGATATTAATGTAGAGAGGACAGGTTCATGGCATCTTCTATATTTAGATATCAATACACAGGAGCACCAGTATTTAGTTGAGCCTTCTGTAAGTTGTAATTTCTTTTAAATATTTTTTGATTTGTCCATTTACTTTATTATTTATATATATGGATTTTTTTTTCCTGCATGTATGTATAAACATGCCTGTGCTCATAAAGATCAGAAGAGGCTTTGCTTTCAGATCTCTTGGGACTAGAACTATACGGATAGGGGGTTGGAGAGATGGTTCAGTGGTTAAGAGCACTGGCTGCTCTTCCAAAGGGTCTGAGTTCAATTCCCAGCAACCACATGGTATCTCCCAACCAATTATAATGAAATCTGGTGTGCAGGGATACATGCTGGCAGAACACTGCATACATAAATAAAAAAATCTTTATCAAAAAAAAAAAAAAAAAAAAAAAAAAACTACAGATGTTGTGAATTGCCATTGTGGGTGCTGGAACTTAGACCTGGGTCCTCTGCAAGAGTAACAATTGCTTTTAACCACCACACTGTCTCTTTAACCCATAAAATGCTCTTTTTTAAAAAAGATCCTGGGTAGGCGTCTTGCTCAGAGTTTCTGTTGTTGTGGTAAACACCATGATTAAAAGCAACATGGAGAGGGGAGGGCTTGTCTTGCTTCCACTTACACATCCCAGTCCCATCACTGAAGGAAGTCAGAACAGGAACTCACACAGGGCAGGAACCTGGAGGCAGGAGCTGATGCAGCAGCTGATGCAGCAGAGGCCAGGCCTGCCTCTGCCTTTTGAGTGCTGGGATTAAAGGTGTGAGCCACCACCACTGGTGTCAGCCTGCTCACTTTTCTAAAATTACTCTAGTTGTGTTTAGATGATATAAAGGTAGCCAGCAGAGCAGGCTGGGTGGTGTGTGTGTGGCTCTTTCACACACAACCCCCTTTGGTGTATTTGGTGGTGTTTTGGGGGTCTCTGCACACTCAGTCTTGCCCTTTGGGGCAGGAGAGAAAGATGACCAAAGAATGGAGGTAGGCTGTTTTATATGGATGGTATGAGAGAGATAGCATGGCTGGGGGTAGGTGAGATACGAGGAATAGAAGCCATGGCGGGAAGCTCAGCACCTATCACATGGGGGTGGGGAGCAAATTCCCAGAGGGTCCCCAAGGTTTCCTCAAGGAGAAGGTCTTCCCTGTGCTTCATGTCCTCATCCTTGCCCCAACAGGCATCATTGCCAGCAACACTCGGGACAACAACACAGGTGCCACCTACCCACATCTGAACTTCAGCATTCCTATAACGGTGCTCCAACCAGCCCTGAAGCAGTATAGTCAGACTGGCGACCTGTGTGGCCTCCAAGAGCTGGACCTCGCCACTGAACCAGTCAGGGTGGTATGGCGGCTGCAGCGGCCCCCAACTGAAGCCCCACGGAGCAAGCTCTGAGACTGTCCCTCTTCTGGGACAAGGTAGACCACTTTATAGCTGTGAGAAGTACATTGATGTCACAACTTTGACATCTCAGTCACCTGCCTGGGCACAGCCTAAGCCATCCCCTCATCTTTAACCATGGACTGTCCAGGAACAAAAGTTCTGTGCAACTTGTGGGTCTCTGATCTGCTTTGGGGTGCTCTCTTGAGCCTGTCTCATCTGTTTCCCAGAACTAGTCTCAGAGTTGCCATTGTTCCTCCTGGGGATTCTAGTCCAGTAGGCAGATCTGCTGGAAGGGCAGCCCAGCCTTACCCCATCTCCCGGTTCAGCATCTCTGCCTGATAGCCTGTGGCCATGTGAAGTGGCTACAGCCAGGGCTCTTGCTTGATACTCTACTCAGCAGGCAGAGGACCCTGCTTGGAAGCCCAGAGTCCCACTGGCCATTAACAGGCCTGTCTTCCCATTGCCACTTTGATAAACAGGCAAATATCCCAAAGCCACCTGCCTTCACTCTGACATAGTGCCTTAATTTACTAGCCCAGAGCCTGAGCCACGTGGTCTTTTAGGTGGTGTATGTGGTGGGAGCAGGGTAATAAACAGTCTGAATGGTCTCACTTTGTATACTGGTTGCTTTTTCTTAAAAGCACAGTGGGGAACAGACTAGCACCTGGCAAGGAAACACACTCCATTGCTTCCCAGAAGATTTCATCTGCCTGTGCTTTGTCTGCCACTCTGGCCCAAAGCTGCATTCATCCATGCCACCCAGGACATGGAATGGGTCTTGGGAAGTGCTGGCCTGGCCTGGCCTGGTGTGGCAACAGGTGTGTGTAGAATGGCCTGGGTGTGCAGAGGTCCAGAATGGGCCCTAGGTAGGATGGAGAGAGGGTCAAAAGTGAATGAGGAGGGCTGAGGGTGTGGCCTGGTAATGGATCACTTACCCTGGTATGTTGAACCTTGCAAGGGTTTGGATCCCCTGTACCACACACACACACACACACACACATACACCCCACCACCAACAAAAATGAATAAAAAGTGACTGGGGGCTACAAATGTGGCTCAATTGGCAGAATAGTTGACTAAAATGCATGAAGCCGTGGGCTTGACCCTCACTAGTGAGCATGGACGCCCATGCCTGCAATCCCAACGCTAGATACATGCAGGTAGGAGGGTCAGAATTTGGGAGGCACCGGAGGAGATCCCTGTGAGTTCAAGGCTAGCCTAGTTTACATGGCAAGGTCCAGACTAGTTAGGACTACATAGTGAGACTCTGTCTCTGTTGAACATGAAACACACACACACACACACACACACACACTATCTGTGGAATGGAATGGAGTATTTTTGCATCCTGACTACCAATCCTTCCTGTTGCTTCAGCCACTGGGAAGTTCAAAGATAGCTCTTTTGTTAAGTAGTGAACCCTGATTTCCAATTTCAAAGGCTCTAGACACTGCTGTGTGGACAGTGAAGTATGACATGAAGAGCCTAGGGACAGACACTGGAGGGACTACAGAGGCCCTGTCCTAGACCAAGTATTCTGCTTGGCAACAAGCTGTTAGGCCACCACTAGGAAACCTTTGAGGGGCTAGTAAGATTGCTCAGGCAGTAAAGGCTCTTGCCTCTGATGCCTGGTGACCTGATCCAGCCCCTAGAAGCCATGCAAAGGTGGAAGGAGAGGACCGCACAATTGTCCTCTGACCCCCTACACATGTGCCTATGAATCGTGCACACATATGCATAACAGTAAGAGTTTTAAATTGTAAAAGAGTACCTTGGCTTTCATGCCTTGACAAAGCCAACTGACATGCTGTGTTAATTTTTTGATCACCATGACTGAATGCCTAGCATAAACAAAGTGATAAGGGATTTATTTTGGATCAGTTTTAGGTGTATCCATCTATCACAGAGTGGAGGGCATGTAAGCAGCAGAGAAAGGAGCCAGGGTATTGCAGGAATCCACAACTGTTCAAAAAGGAAAATCAAAACAACAACAACAAAAAAAACAAAACAAAACAAAAACAAAAACAAGCTATCCATGTGGGGCCTGGCCCCAGCTGGTATATCTACAATGCAACCTCCATACCTAAGGCTAGGGGAACATGGAGGACGAAGGGAGGGGATGATTGTAAGAGCCAGAGGACCAAGAAGTTTGCTGTGAAATAGTGTCTTGTAGACATGATGCCACCATGAAATCTCAACAATGAGGTTGCTTAAACAAGGTCTACATAATAACCACACGAACAACATGGCAATGTGGATGGGGGCAATTTCACAAGGCCCTGTCTCTAAAGAACTATAGGTTCTTACTTCAGAGCCTGTAGAGAGAGATCTGATCAGTGGATGGAGAGAGAGAGAGAGACAGACAGAGAGATACACATACACACACACACACACACACACAAAATATGAATCAGGCTTCTCTAGCGAAAGGCCCCCTGCTAATTTCCTGGTGGTTGCATGTTCATAAGAGCAACATTAAACGGACTTAGGCTTGGTTTCTATCTTTTTTGTGCATGCAGCAGCAGTAATTACAGAAGAGATCATGAATTTGAGAGGGAGTTGGGGGACATAGGGGAAGTTGGTGGGAGGGATGCAATTGATGTAAATATAGTATTCATGTGTGAAATTCTCGTGAAAGTAAGTGTTCAAAGGGGAAAAAAGAATAGTGTCCTCTCCCCTTTATATATACATGTTTTGAGACAATGTCTCACTCTGAAGCCAGCATATGGTGGACTTGTGATACTCCTGTCTCAGCTTCCTCAGTGGCTGCAAGTACGGGCATGAGCCAGGACACCCAGCTCAGACATGTAAGTCACAGACAGTTGTCTACTGCTTTTAGGGCAGGGGACAATATCTGCATGGAGACAGATAGCCTATCTTTTACTTTTTCCTAGAAATTGTAATGTAGAATGTTCTGGCTTTCACAACTCTGTCCCGTTTCTGCCACTTTGTGCGCATGCTCACTTTCCTCCCCTACCCAGTGCTGTCTTCAGTGTAGGACAGAGGTCTACCACCTTTCTCTGCCTTCAAATGTCCTCATTGCAGTAGGTGACAAGAGATGTTTTTGGTAGTGGTGGTGGTTTAGTGGTTTCATTTTTAGACGGGACCTCAGGAAGCCCAAACTAGCCTCAAACTTGCTGTACTAACTAACCAAGGATGACCCTGGATTTCTAATCATCCTGTCTCCACCTCCCAAGTACTAGGCACCCACCACTACCCTCTGCTTTTGTAGTGTTGGGTAAGAAATCCAGGGCATTCTACCTACTGAGCGACATCCTACCTCTCCAATTTTGGGCTTAACTCCTTTATCTCCCGGCCATTACCTGACCAAAAGATATACCTGTACCACTCTCCATTTTAAAGTTCCCAAGGCTGGACATACAACGGGCGCTCAGCCTGTACGCACATGCGTGAAGAAGGCACAGCTAGTGTTGGGGGCCATAGGACCTACAGGTGTCTCTCAGAAACCCAGGCATAACCGGGGCACCCGGCCCTAGCAGGTGGAGGTTACGTGGGCAACTTTGTGTCCAAGTTGCAGGCGGTTCGTAGGCGGTCAAGGTCAGTGGCAGGGCGGCAGGGAGGGGCGGGGCTTGGGGCGGCGCAGCCTGCCGGGGACAGGGATGGACACGCCCTGGCCAAGGGCCTCGGCGAGCGCCGGAAGACCGGCGGACAGCAGCAGGTGAGGTCGCCTGGGCCCTTGTTCACGGGTGGGTGCAGCGGGACGACAGGGGCCAAACCTTTGGGAGGAGGGGGCCGCTGCCTAGGATACCCAGGGGCGACCCGTAGGACCGGATCCCCCAGGATTCCCTGCCCCTAAAGCCCCACTAAGTCTTTCCGGGAACTTAGGGCGGTATTGGGAGCAGTACGCTCAGGGGCGGTGGGGCAGGCCTGTCAGACATGGCCCCCGATCCCGGAAGGGTCTCAGACCGAAGGGCTGCAGTGTTTGAGCACAGCGGGGAGACCCCTAGGAATCTTAGGGAAAGTGAGTGGGGTTGCCCAAGTGGTCATCAATTTGGGTGCATTAGAAGCCAGCTTCAACCCTCCCCCATGAAGTGGGGGTTCTGCCATAACAAGACCAGCCATAGCTGAATCCACTCACTCTCTCCTGGCCCCCCAAGATCTCTTTGACTCTGGACTCTAAAGGGAGGGCTCAGTTGTCTTAGGAGCTGAGTCTCCTGTGGGAGAACAGGCTAGACAGTTTGGGAAGAGACTTCTAGGTCTCTCCACTCAGCAGCTATGCTCCAAGGCTGGCATCAGCTTCTAGCATGAGACCGTGTCTGCTGCCCACACACCCCAAGGGCTCAGCCACACCTAGAGGAGTTTCTCAAGGGAGGTGAATGTCAACACCGACCCAGGTTGCTTTCTATTCACCAAGACACTGAACCCCAGGCAATGTCAGGCTGTTCTAGGACCATTTGCCCATAAGTGATAGAGCTGGGCCTATCAAGGATGGTGCGGTCAAGTGGCCTTGTCTGATGGCAGGTGAAGGTACACATGCTGGCAGTGGACAGGGATGGGCAGCTCACTTGGGGTGGGGTTTGAATACAGGAGTGTCAGTGATACCAAAGTGAGCACACTTGTCCTAGAACTTTCCTGTCTCTTCATCCTTTCAAAGTCAGTCCCTTTTAGCACTGGGTGTTTTTCAAGGGTACGTTTGGGGGTACGTTCCTCCTCCGCAGCTGGCCGTAGAGTCTCCACTCTCAGCCTGGCCCCTGGTGTCCAAAGAGGGGAGCCATCACCTCCCTTCCCCAGTGGAAGAGGGGACGTCCTAGCCCATTGAGTCACACTTCAGTAACCTCCTTCTTGGCCACTGTGGATACAAGGCCACCCTGTGTGCCAATGTTGAAATCTTCCATCTTGTATAAGCCTGGATGACTCAAATGGCTGTGTGGTATATTTGTGACTATTTTTGTAGAGTAAGACAGCAGGAAGGTCTCACTTTGGCCTGGGTGTACAGGGCTTCTGTTCTGTGTTGCCTGAGGTTTGACCTCTTGACAGCTATGGCAGAATGTGTTCCAGTAGATTTCTGGAGGCCTCTTACCTTGGGATCGGGCTGCTTGGCAGAGAAAACAGTGTTGATAGGCAGGTTCAAGTGTGGACCCCATCTGTGTATGTATGTGCGTGTTTTGGGAGATGGCACAATGGTAAAATTACATAGGAATTGCTGTTCTTTTAGGTTTTTGTTTTGTTTTTTGAGGGATATGGAATGGGCAGGGGGACAGGGTCTCATGTAGCTCTTGGCAGTCTCATACTTACTATATCCAAGGCTGGCCTTGAACTTCTGATCCTCCTGCCTCTCCCTGTAATTGCAAGTGAGCTTCGCCTGGTTTATGTGATGGTAAGAATCAAACCCAGGACATTGTGAACACTAGGCAAGAGCTCCACCAACTGAACTATGCTTCGGCACTTAAGACTTCTTTTAAACCAGTGGCTCTCAGCCTTAGGGTCCCAAACCTTTGGATCACCTAAGATCATTGGAAAACACAGATATTTACATTATGATTCATAACAGTAGCAAAATTACAGTTATGAAGTAACAACAAATAAATTTATGGTTGGGTCACAAATTGAGGAACT